CCGCCCCTCGCTCGCCGCCCGCCGCGGGGCTCCTCACGGAGCTGGGATAGAGGCCACAGACAAGGAGTCGCACCGAGGCGTGTGGAGGGCAGCGCTTTATTGACAGCCCGGGCGTTTTCCGAGCCGATCTCGCCGAGAGAAGGTTTCACGGGAGGCCTCGGTGCCGCCCGAGGGGAGCCTCAGGCCGGGCAGGACTGGCGCTCGCAGGAGCAGGCCGTGTGCGCGGCCACCGCGCTCACCGCGTCCTCCGGTTTCTGCTGCAGCCTCGCGCCATCGTCCACGTTGAGAGCTGAGTCTGCAAGCGGCAGGAAAGCGCGAGTCAGGGCAGGGTTTAGAATCACAGAATCATTGTGGCTGGAAAAGACCTTACAGATCATCAAGTCCAACTGTGGGCGTACACAGAGGGGCTCATGTTGGTAGTAGCACCCTCGAGGTCTCATGGGTTTTCCACACATGCCGTGCTGTAGCCCAGGACTGTGCAGAATGGGTCATGAACTAGTATGTATCATTTTCCCACTGAAAACAACAGGTACACTGAACGCAGACGTATAAGGATCATGCTTATTGTTTTGGTGCATGCAGCTGCTGAAATGCTCACATTTTTATGAAGTTAAATGCAGGTTGGAACGTACTAATCCTGGTTATGGTGGTTGCAAGTGAACAAGATACTTTTTGGTGACAGATTATAAAATATTTATTCCCAGACATTTTCTCAATCAGGGACAGGTAAAATGTGACATATTGCCCTGGATTAGAGCTTTTTTTTTTTTTTTTTTTTTTTTCCCATACTAGAAATTCCCAGAAAACTGAGTAACTTAAGGAAGACCACACGAGCTTTTAGCCAGGTTCTGTCTCACCATGCAGAGGATGAGGAGCAAGGAGCTCTATGGGAGCAGGACTCATTCCAGATATTCCCACTATGCTGTGGACAGATACACATTCTACAGACTCACCAGCTGGTACACAGTGGAAACCAACAGATACAGGAACAACTTGGGTTGCTGAACAGCCCTCTACGCACTGTAGAACTGGCTCAACAGAGTAGCATTTTGAGGCCTTCTTTTCAAATGCAACAGGCTTCTCAATTTTCACAAGCTTGTGCTGCAGCTTGCAAGCTAGAAAACATGAATTATTTTAAAGCATCTATAGAATTCAAATAAGTTTTCTGTACTCAGTTTGTACATTAGCAACAACTAAGAACAATGAATATATCAAGTGACAGAAGATACATGAAATATGATGTTATTGAAGTGAGAGTTTCCATCAGTAACTTAGGTTATAAGAGAATCAAGCTTTCAGGGCAAAATCCGAAGGACAGAGGCCTGTGAAGTAGTAGAAAGGTAGGATATTGGTGTCTAAATCTGAAAAGATATTTGTGAAAACCCTTGATCAACTTGACTTCACCTAGACTAATGGAAATTTAATTTTTGATCAGTAGTGTCTCCTAGGCATCTGTATTTCAACCATACCTGCCTGGTATGGTTTAGGGAATTTTATAATTTTATCTGAAACACACATACTTCAGGTAGTTACGTAATGCAAAATAAACTGACATAGGAATGCAACAAAACCAAATCTTGCAGTGAACCAGCAACTTCAGGAAAAAATAGACTTTTCAGCTGGTGGACACCAAGCACAAAGATAGTGAAAAATAGGTAATCATGCTACAGTTAATAGACTATATCAATCTCATGGCTATTCATGTGAGTCATGCAATCAAAGGCAATGATATCAATATATGTTAGTATCTTAATACCTCCAGCACAAGGGTCTTCTGAGACAATCCAAGACTGAGTAAAACTCACTGCATCTTTAGCTAAATATCCACTAGGCATTTGATATTCCCTTTCCTTCTCACCGTCACACTTTCCACAAATACCACACGTTTTCCCAGCCATCCAGAAAGCAACCTGAATCTTTGTGAAAATAAAGGAAAGATGCATTTAATTGCCTGTCTTATGAAAACAAAAGCATCAAAAATAGATTAAAAATACCTCTAGTGTATGTCCATCATAATATAGTTGATCTATGCCATAGTCAGGGGCTTTTAATGACAGGCCTTTATTTTCACTGCTGATAAGCAGGCTTGCATCTGCAACAAAAAAGCAGAATGAGATTTATTTGAAAAAGAAGTTATTGTTCAGAGTCCTGTTAACTTTATGGGAATGTAATGTAAGTTCTGATATATTGTGAAAGAGATGGGGAAAATGAGAAGGTGTATTCCCCATGCTGCCCTGCAGTGAAGCTCAGTGACTAGGTAGCTGTGGCTGGAGTAGCTCTTAGTTGCCTGTTCTGTGACAGGCTCTGTGGACAGCCCAAGATACCAGAGCGCTGCTTTATTTAGTCTGTGCATAAGCACAATAAAAATGATGTTCTCTTGCACTGCTCATCTTTCTTGTTACTCTCCATAACATGAAGCCAGCATGAAGCTATGTTCAAATCATCTAATTTTCTCATATTAGGGTGAACCTTATCTTGAGGCAATGTTGCAGGATCATACGTTTTCCTTTGAGGAAGCAGAAAAGTGTAAATGAAGACTAAAATTGTTTTCCTACCAGAATTAGACGTGTATGGAACATCTGTTGGAGTCTGAACACCATTTATCTTCAGCTGGGTGAGTCCATTGGAAACGTACATGTCGATCTCACTTTAATGAAAGGACATGAGTATAAACAAGTGCTTCTCCTTCGTGCTACTCAAGTCACAGTTTCCAATCCTAGTAGAACTGATGTCATTCTGGCATGAATTCCTGCTACACTTTGGGATGAAGCTAGAGGGAGGCCAGGGAAGCATGCCAAGCAGCATGCTACCAAACACCCTTCCCTACTTCTACTCATCTCTGAGCATCTGCTGGTGGCCACAGCTCAGGAGAGGAGGTACCAGATTGGAAAAATCCTCGGTACTAAACACTATAACTGCTCTTCTGTTCGTGTAAGCTGAAGATGCTTTACATTTCAAAGAAAAACTAGATTCCCTACTGCAGTTATGGTCTCACAGCCTGAATATTTTGCAAATCTTCTTGAGAGTGGTATTTGCTCTTAAAAAGAAATATGAAGCACAAGCACATAAAAAAACAGTACAGTTTTATGAAATTATCACAAATGATAGAATGACAAGGAATCTCTTTATCACAAAAGGTAAAAAAAAAAGAGTTCTTTATAAAAAAAGTATCCCTCTGCTTAGCCACAGAACAGGTCTACGGAGTGCCAGTTTCTCTCTGTTCTCCAACATTATGTCAGTTAGACGCAGAAAATTAAAAAAAAAAGTAATTGTAATGAAAATGTGCAGATCAAAGCCAATTTATTCCCTTTGAGGAATACTCCCTACAATGATTCTGCTATGCATAATTTCATATAATTTATAGTAGTTTATACTATATAGTTTATAGCAAGCCTATGATTGCAGAGGTGATTGTTTTAAGATGAAAAAATGTGTGTCTTAAATTAATTTCAAATAGATTTAGAACATTATGTACCAACCAAGGCATAACCTAAGAGAGTGTCCCTAATGTGGGAGAAAAAATTCCCTTTTTAGCTATGTCCACTTCTCACCTACTGTGCTGAGATTACTGTGCAGGTGCTAATTAGTCTAATTATTAGTTTAGTATAAGAGTTCATACAGAATTATTAAAGCAGTCCCTATTGGCTTCACAGTTTATGTGTCTACGTAATTACTAAGAGCTAGAACGAAATGGTTAAATGCTAAGAAACTAATCAAGAATTTCAGGTGGTAACGACTTCAGGTTCCTATGAACCTCAAATGTATTTCAAAAAACAAAAAACTCTTCAAAGACAAAGCAAAGGCCCAAACCCCAGTGACATTACTAAAACTCTTTCCGTTGACGTCAATAATTTTGCATGAGTCTTATGCTGGTAACAATCTGTTCTAGCAGTCTGGGCTTCACATTTATAGCGTCATCAGCTTGATATCTGTTTGTAATACTTTTGCCATTACTCACTGACTGGCAAGTCTGATATTTATTGCTATGAGATCATCAGACTCGTCCGATCTCTTCATCATGACCAGGAATTTCAGTTCTGGACTACAATCCTGAGCCAAGACGTGGTAGCAGTTTGCAGGCATTGAATGATTAAATTCAACTCCATTGAAGGTTGTGATCGTATTTTGGGAAACTGAACAACGAGCTGAAAAAAAGTTGATTATAATAAACTTTTTATCCTTTGTACAAGCATTATTCAACTTTACTTGCCTACAATTTTCTGGCCTTACTTATTCCCACATAGAAGTTAAATAATTCCTTCAGAATGAATTATTCAGGATTTGTAGCAATACAGAAACAAAAGCTTGCCAGTCCACAAACAACAAAACAACCAGTTCGCAGTTCATTCATAGTGAGAGATAAATTTGTGAGTACAAATTGTGATCTCTTATCTCAGAATTATGCAAAGCTTTTTCATTTAATATTCAGCCTGAACAACACATGAGTTCACTCAGAGCATTAGTGAAATGATAATCCATTCAAAATCAAGTGCAGGAGGTGAAATGATCTCTTAATTTTTTGAAGTTTTTTTGTTTGTTTTTTTTTTTTTTTGGTAACAGCAGTAGTCAAACAGAGCACCCCAAAACTGAAATTACTTGAAAATCCACATCGTAAGTAGCGTATTTTCCCCAAGAACAGTTTTTGCAATGAAGTTCAAAGTGATGCACTGGGGATAATGTACTTCTCAATCACTGAAGTCATCAATAAGTGTCAGTGAAACCCCTATTTGAATATTTCATCTTCAATATAATTTTTCTTTTCTTTACATTTTGTAACCCCCCAGATTTTCATTGCAAACATGTTCATTTCTATCTGAAGTCCTACTGATTTCTTAAGTGAGCATAAAATAATTTCAAGTTTTATCTAAAGGTCAGAATCATATTTACAATCTCTACAAAGTAAATGCCTGTGTATATAGTTAATTTCTGACCTTTAAGATTTTCAGTGATTGAAAATGCTGCTTTGGAAAAGAAGTTCAAGTCAGAGGATGGCAGTGTTGAAGTTGGTGTACTTCGTCTTGAAGGGAATGGCAGGGGAAGCCTTATGCCTCTGTCAAAAATTGTGAGCTGCAAATCAGTCAGAAAACAAACATTACTGTGGATGTAAAATATAGTGTGGTGTTGAAAGAACATTTTTCCTCTAACAAAGAGATCTGTGCTATGCACTGACTGAAATCTAAGTTAGAATCGAGATCTAGGTCAGAGCTAAATGTAAATTAGGTTCTCTGTCTACTGCACAGAACAGCTCTACTGTTTTAAATCTATAGAATAACAGTATTTTAAATGAAATTTTATATTCACCAGCACAGCCTTGTGAGGAGCCGCACATCGAACTTGGAGTGCAAGCAGTTTGCTTACCCGAGAGACACAGCCTCCCCTTGCCTATACTTTGGGAACTACTTTTTGGCCACTGTGGCTCTCTAGAGTTTCCAAGACACAGCAAAACCTAACATTTTCCTGAAAATTAAAGGAGGAGTGTTATTCTAATCAATTATTGTTGATGCATTATCAGTTGGGATTGTTGTGTTGTAAGTGTTCTTATTTGTTGTGTTTGCATGC